AAGTACTTTCACTATTATATGCACTCTCAGCAGCTATTTCTATTAAATTGGCGCCTGTTTTTAACAGTTTACATTTCTGTTCTAGCCATCCATTGCAGTTAGTTGGTTAAGTGGCTGTTCTGAGACACAGACGATAAACATGATTGTCACCTGTAATGATTGTCTTTCATCTCATTGCCTAATGTCCCATGAGCACTAACTTTGTTTTGGAACCCTAACGTTTTCCACAGTGAGCTAGTGAAGTGTAGGATAAGTGTTTTAGGATAGAGCTGCACCTGAATGAAATCCCATTGCTGAAATTACATTGCAGCATTTCCTCTTCAACTGCTAAAATTTCATTGTATTAATGTGGTTTAGGCCTCTTGGAAACTGGACAGGTTTTGATCAATTTCTGCCTTGTGACCTAAGTAAAAAAGAAATTGATGCTTTTCATTTTGTGGCAGATTAAATGTCAATCTGATTTAAAGTTGTTATTTTTTTAACCAAAGTCAGGTAACATCTTCTCAGATTAGGAAGATAATGTGAAAATAAGCATGTGGGAGAATTTAGAATTACAGAAGTTACTAGTTTATCAAGCGAAACAACTGATAACATCAAATTATACTCCATTTGATAATGTCTTTGAGATATCCATGGTTATTGTGAAATAGATGTCTGGGGACAGGCGGAAGAATCCTGAGGAAAAACTTTTTCCACTTCTTACTACTTGTGTTATATTTACGACTTTTAAACATGCTTGATATTTGGATGTCACGAAAGCTTCAATATGAATTTCCTTTATTGTCTTAATGGTATTCCTGAAATTTACTTCATAATCATGTCTTGTTTAGGTGTGATTCACATCTCTACTTCTTGTAGGTGTTGGTAGAGCTCTCAAGCCTAGTCATTAAGCAGAATTTTAGTTTGGAACACATTTAATAGGACACAGAACTTCTCAAAGTTTTTTCTGTTCCATGTTAAGTATCAACAATAACGTGTGAGAGCATATATGCTCTAACAAATTTCCTCTGAAGAGCTTCTCAAACAATGGACAGTTGTACAGAGTTTGTGTGACAGTTCTAGGGAAAGTACATGGTGGAGTCTTCCAAGCTTTTGAAGGCCCCATTCTACAACATCCCTTCAGACATCTTTTGAGATGAGGAAATGAATAATGGCTATAATTTCCAGCAACTAGCCAGGGCATAGCTAACTATCTTTAATTGTTGGTGACAGGAAGATAGTTGTGTTCCCAATTGCACTTTGCAGCCTCTCTGAATACTCTCAATTCTACTTCAAAATCACATGTAGTTGAGATGTGATACTTTAATATGAAGGTTTAATAAGATTGTCAAAGGACTTCTGTTGTATTCGTATCCTTATTTTTGAGAGACCTGGAGTTTGCTGCAACTCGTGCGTTTCCCGTAACTAGAAGCATTCAGTTAAGTACACCAACAAATTAGTAATTACAGGCTGAGCCGTGGGTCTCAGTTACAACTGCAGGATAGGAACTTTGCAGGGGTGAGGGAGGAGGAAAGAGGAAATTTGTGGGCTAGATATGTGCAGGGATGTCACTTAAGTTTTAGATTATTTTTTTCTTTACATCCATTG